GGGGCGCGTAAAGGCCAAAAATAAAATAAAAACTTGTGGAAAAGGGAACAGCCTGCCCCAGTGGTACTGCACAGTGGGTCAGGCGGGAAAAGAAAAAGACCACCTTACGCGGGTGCAAGCCCTCCCAGTTCTGTCAGTGTGAAACTCCCCCTTCCGGGCGTGTCCAGTGTGCCTTTATAGGACCCGCCCAGCTGTGGCTCATCGTCTAGAAGCCGGGACTGCTGGGACCACAAAAGCGAGGTGTCACCCTTCCTCCAGAGCTCCGCCTCCACACTGGGCACGCCCCCGCGTAATGCCACAGTACCAAGCTGCTGAGTCATTCTCTCAAACCTGATAACTCTTCATTTCTTCCACTGGCCATGGAAAAGCTTTCCGAAATATAGCTATTACTCTATAGCTAGTGGGTACAGTGTTTACGTCCATGGATACTTTATTTTCAAAAACTAATTCATGATTCAGTTGTGTGGCAGCAGCCTTCTGAAAAGCAGAGTTGTGCTGCCACATTAAAAAGACCCCAAAACGACATACAGTGTGTAAAATGCAGCAAAATGTTTTACTGACTGTTGTTCCTGTCATAGCTGCAAAAATAACAACAAACGTTAATAATGATCATTTAGGAGATATTCTCCCATTTGAGGTCAAATGAAATGAAGACGTAATCAACATGTTCTGGTTTATACTTGCCTGGCTTAGGCAATTGAATCTGTTTTACAAAATGAGCCGCAGGATTTCTAACTTCTGGAGGCAGTGGGCCAGAAAGACACTTGATCAAAGAACACTGGGAAGGCAAGTCTGAAATCCTTTCTCCTGTACGTTTTCAATTAACTATGTGTGTATTCTTATTCTTATTACAAATGAATATTTTCAGAAACAAACCAACACAAATATTGTTTATTTGTTCTGAATTTTCAAGGAAGGAGTTTATATTTGAAAATAAAGACAATTGTACACAAAAAAGAATAATTATCTCAGCCTTGATAACTTATACTGTACAGTATATACTGTAGTTGCATTATTTTACAACTTCTACCAGAAAAGTGCAATATCTCACAATATTTAGCTGAAAGCAATTGATCTGCAGAAAAGTCACAGTCACAAAAACCTCAAAAAACATCTGCATAAACTTTTATATATATATATACTTATTTGCAAAACATTTGACAGTCAACTGCCATAAATATTTTACTTCAGACAGCAAAGCACTGGAAAGCCGGTTAATAATTAATTTTGACAATAAAAAACCTCAAGACTCTTTAAAATAAGTAATGTAACACTTTAAAGAGCTATATTGATGGGAATGATCTTTAGTTAGACATCACAGGTAATGTCATTCCTCTCCATTCTTTCATTATAAGGAATAATGTGTCATTATTATTAATGCTTCAGCCCAATGCCCATTGTAATTGGATACTTCTGACCACTGCCTCTATATAAACTCTCACATTCAATGAGAAGGCAGTTTCAAGCTGCAACACGAAGCATACAGCACTGAAATCCTGTAAGTAGGAGCTATTTTTATTAATGATAACCAACATTAATTAACCCTTTATTAAAGCAAGCTTTGTGAGGAAGGGGATAATTTTATTTAAGTCTCCTACAAATGTTTGTGACCTACTGTAGTAATATGTTGTAAAATGTATGGTTTTAACTGAATATACATCAATTCATGCTAATTACTGGATGTGTGTACAAAATCTTTTTTCCTCAATATGCTGAGCAGTGATACATCTGTTGATTACAAAAAATTAAAAAAATGCAAACTTAATTTTATTATGGTGCAATTTGGGTTAATAAATTGTTACACTATAATGGAAACATAATATTTCTAACCAGACAAGGAAGACAATAGTTTTCTGTATATGACAATGTATGGGTATTGTGGACTTGCACATGTTTTTAAGTTGTATTTTCTGATTTTCTCTCAAGTAGAATGCACGTAATTTGTACAATATACTGTATGGAACAAATTCAATCACATCACTTTTGTCAACTGTCCACATCTAATAAGGATGTTTACAGTACTCGACAGTTCCAATATTATCATGCTTGAGTTAATTTACTTTGGCGTGACTGATGACTAACTACGGAGAAAAATATTCTGATAACTTAGATGCCGTTTCTGGACTTGAGAGATGCTGCCTTATTTAATCGTACTTTTCATCCTAGTTCCAGAAGAGCTAAAATGTCACAAATCTATTTTCTGATTAACAGTAACGGCTAACTATTGTGTACACTTGGCAGACTTCAGTGTCCAGCTTTTCTGAGTTTTGTTTTGTTGACTGTGCATCCTGTACAAACGCTGTTTACAAGAAAGGTACCAATTTACAACTGCTTACAGAAGGTTGCCGTTTGCTACATATTTTTTGTGGTAACTAGGCAACAGTTCTTAATGGTAGCACTGGCTCTGAAGTGACATCTGTCCCCCCCCCACATCTCTCTAGTGGTAAACTATCACTACAGCCCCACCCCACCCTCACTGCTGCCTGCCATATACTGGCCGCATCTCTGGTGCTGTATTCTGGTTGAATATGTCGCTGTAGACTATAGCCAGGACACATGTAATAAAATGCAAAAGGTACTGAGCAAATGTAAGAGGCAACACTAATTGATATCAGAAGAAATAGTCACCAAGCAATGTTCTTATACTAAGATTATCTGCTCCTAGAAGTGTTTGAAGGATATAAGCAGAACCTGATGTAGACTGTACCCGTACACAACATGAACCACATGTCTCAAGGGCAAAACCGACAAAAAGAACCAGCAGATAGAGAAGCATGCACAATAAGGAATGAAAACTGAAACGGTAATAGTCGGACATTCAGACAGAGTCAGAGATAGCTTGCCATTGGAGTGCAACAAGTGTAGCTCTTCTATCATTCTTCACGTCTCTGTATCTGTATGTACAGAAAATACATGGCCTAAATAATTCAACTCAACTGGTTTTGTATTTGGTGAAACTAAAATCAATAGAAACGTTATAAGGTGGTCTTAATTACACATGATGTATATTTATATCTAAGATTTAATGCTATATTTAGAGGAGTATTCATTTAGAGGATTATTTATTGCTGAAACCCTTTGTGCATATTATCAATAAGCAATTCCATACTGTGATTGTAGTGTTGTGATTTGTGAAAGCGGAGTATGTTGATATATGTTTATGGCATACTGTATTTGTGTGAAAAATACATGAAAAACACAGCCCAAAATACAGTGCATCTTGACTATATTTAAAAACTGGAAAAGAAACAGGGAATTAGCCGAAGATAAGCAGGCTTGGATACAGACGCTCCTCAAAGGGTTGTCTTCCTTGTTACAATTGGAAAACTTGTCAAATTCAAATATCTTGACAGCAGATTATTTTCAGTGCAACAGGTTATTCTATTCATATGGTTTCTCTTGATCGGGGACATAATATCAAGAGGCAATGTGATGGAAAGTAGACTAGAAATTGTCAAGTATCATACTTGAAGGGTCCTGGCGATAACTCAAAAATAAGAAGGTCTTAACAGATATTTCTTATTATTATGAAATTGAAATGATTAAAATGATTATGCCTAGCCATTTTATTGTCTTCTAGACAAATGTGTATCCAATATTCTACATTTGGACACAAGTTGAGGCTTTATTAAATATTTGCAGTTACAGTATGTAAATATCCTGTTTAGGAATAGTGAGATGTAGAAAGATTAAAAGCCTATGGATTCATGAACTTTTAAAGATTTATGTAGAAACATTTAATAAATTGACAGTTTTACAATATGTGTGTTGTCCTACCTTATCACATCTTCATAACTTCTTATTGCAGTAAATTGCAGATACATCTGTTCCAATAAATTACAGTAAGGCCTGATAACAAGGGGGGAAAGGCAGATGCCATTTAATTGTAAACATTGTGTTATTTTCTAAAAAAGTGTTTTGAGAAAAAAATTGATTTCTCCACAAGTCTGTCACTTCTACAGAGTGTAGGAACAAAATGATTTTTTAAGAGTCATTTAAGATTAAGCCAGTATTTTTCCTGCACACATACTGATTCTTTTACAGCTTCAGGGTAAAGGATGGCTACATTTTAATATTATATTTATAATAATTTCCATAAACGAATGATGTACAGATTGATAAGTGTACTGTGAAACTGTAGTGGAAGATCATTGCAAAATGAATATTTAGCAAGGTACTGTACAGTACCTTGGATGGCCTCATATTTATAAAAAATAAAATTTTAACCTAAGATAAGATAAACTGCTGAGCTTCTAGATCGTTTTTTCCTTGCAATATCTATATGAGATGTCGATTGCACAGTATAATAATAATATATGTGTATTGTAAATGAGATTAAAATGGAGTACATGATTGGTTTTACAAGCCTCCTGAGGTGAAGCTTTGGGAATCACACCTCATGCTCATGTAAATGCTCTTGTCCATCTGTCTGAATCAAATTGCATCCTGTAATGTTGTCTTTAGTGGGAAGCAAACATTAGTTTCCCAGCTGCTTCAGGAATATTGTGAGCTGTGGTGCTTGAAACTGTCATATTATTCCTCTCTGTACCTCTGATAAACTGTCAGAATGGAAAATAAATGAAAAGTGTTCATTTAATAATGCAACCATATAGAAAATATAAATATACAGTATCCAGATATCTATTATTTATTGTAGACCCATCTGAGATTTTATTCTGGACTGGGGCACCTTCTGTGTGAAGATTACATGTTCTCCTTGTGCGCACGTTTGTGGTGCTCATGACAGGTGTTCCTACAGTATTTCCTCCCACCTTCTAAAGACATGCAGGTGTAACAGTTTCCTCCCTTGCTGCTCCTGCCCTGCCAG